AAATCTAAATCTTACTTTTGCAGTCTATGATATGTCAAAAATCGTAATAGTTAATCAAGATCATGTTTATGTTTGTGTACAGCATTCTTGTTTATCCTACTTTCATCAACTAAGATTGAGTCTTCTGCAGCGTAGAATAGTTTGCTGTTCTCAATGGATGTTGTACTGTTATTGGTGATACCCTTGAGTAGAAACTTTGTTGTTGCTTAGCATGGTCAGAAAGAGGGGGCCAGGGGTTCTGGCAATTAATGTTCATTCTGTTATTTACCCAAATGCAATATTGTCTTACACCTTTAATCTTTTGTAGAGCTTTGAAGCATTGAATCAACGTGCTGTCGCTGTGGTGGTGGATCCAATTCAGAGTGTGAAGGGAAAGGTGGTCATTGATGCCTTCCGTCTTATCAACCCACAAACTATGATGCTTGGCCAAGAACCACGCCAGACTACATCTAATCTTGGACATCTTAATAAGCCATCCATTCAAGTGAGTCCTGAACAAGTAAATTTAACTCCATTCTTTGCAATCACAACTTTTTGACCTCCTGTGCAATTTCCTCTGCAGGCATTGATACACGGGTTAAACCGGCATTATTACTCCATAGCAATTAATTACAGGAAGAATGAACTTGAGGAGAAAATGTTGCTTAACCTTCACAAGAAGAAATGGACTGATGGGTTGACACTTAGGCGCTTTGATAATCATTCAAAGACAAATGAGCAAACTGTTGAGGTAAGTGAAGGTTTCATGAACTTCAATTTATAGTGGTTTGCACTAGTGACTTCTTATAGCTGAAGTATAGACTACGATTATAGTTTAAGAAAAAACCATTAAGTTTCCATCTCAGTGTAGTTTTCCTGGTTAGAAGTCCATTTCTCACAAAATAAAAACTAAAACCATCTGCCTGAATTAATTTTCAAAAGGGTTAAAGGTTATGCCCCTTTGGACTATGGGTTTTATCCTCTCCCTCTAGAGTGACTGTTGGAATGTTTTTATCAGCAAGTTTAAAATGTGAGCTGGTTTTGATTTATTATAGGTCGACTAAATTTACTGCTTGAAGTCGTGATTAAATTCCTTTGCATCTGGATTTTGCAGGAGATGAAGAACTTGGCTGTCAAATACAACAAAGCAGTCCAGGAGGAGGACGAGTTACCTCCAGAGAAGCTCGCGATTGCAAACGTTGGAAGGCAGGATGCCAAGAAGCACCTTGAAGAACATGTCTCCAACCTGATGTCCTCAAACATAGTCCAGACCTTGGGAACAATGCTTGATACGGTTGTGTTCTAGAGAGTTCGAGGTCCAAGTCTGGAAACTGAGGTTGCATTGCTGTGTGAGTAGGGCCACTGATAATCTTTATTGCTTTGAAACAGTGTTAGTATGCAAGCCTAGTTTTAGCTGAACTTAAAGATTTCCATGAAAGTTCAACCATGTGGACATAAATTTACATATGGATTGTGTTTTACAGTAAATGAATATTCAACTACCACAAGATTGTATTCCATCACCATCACCATCACCCTCACCCGCAACCCACTTCCCTGTGATTTCTTGATCAAGTACTTGGTGCTGATCCATACGACTTTCACATCATCTCTACGACATTGCGGAACACAGCACACACACATGCAAAAGATATATATTTTAAAACTATTAAACATCACACGCCACATCTCATTGTCGGAAATGAGTTGTCCTTATAGAGAGAGCCAAAGTCTGATCTATTTGGCGGAAAGCTAAAGTTCGATTTGGACCTGGTAAGGATTCCTCTGTGATACTAAGGCGATAATAATATTGGGTTAATAAACCCACTTACATTTGTGGTTATAAAAGGTTGTCCAATTTGCTTCGGTTTAAGCCGGTCTGATTTGGTTCGGTTCAAGCCTGCGGAGCATACAAGCTCGGCACTCTAGTATAATCCTACTGAAAATAGCTTTTGCCTATTCAAACAGCTTACATATGTAATGCAACAGAAAAAGTAAAGACAAGAAATAAGTACAATAACATTAATGACATTGAAAATGCCTGATACAAGATTGACAAAGGAAACCCACCACTTTGTCAATTTCCCCACATATAATATTGTCCAGAAAGCAACCTTTTTCATGGAATTTGCACTAATCTTGGTTTATGAAAGAAGCCAAATGCTTAATCAAGCTCTTAGCTTTTTCACAATTGGGATTAAAGATGTGAAACACATGGTCCTCGCCTTCTGTTTCAGTCAACTCCTTCCTCCCTCCCCAACTGCTCTTTACCAGTTCATCATAATAAAGCCTCCCTCTGTCCCTCAATATGTCTTTTCCCGCAACAAGAACAAGCACTTTCCCACAAGCCAACCCCTCAACACTCGGAGCTCCATCCCCAAAGGGGTTAATGAGCGGGTCATCCCCCGCTTTCTCTGACGGGCAAACGAACTGCCACCACTTGTCCACCATTGACTTCCTCACCAAATCTGTCACCTCTCCACCAATTGGCTCCTTCCCCCAAAAATAAGGATGGACCAAACCAATCCCAGCAATCTTCACCTTCGGATCCGGGTCGGATGCCTTCACCCGTAAGGCCAAATGGTGCGCAATATTAGCCCCTGCGCTGTCTCCAACCAAGAACACCCGCCCAAAATCTACATGCTCCTTAACCCACAAATCACCATCTTCTCCACCACCAAACACCCAATTGAGTGCAGCCCAAGAGTCTTCATATGCAGTAGGGAGGGGGTGCTCAGGGGCCAACCTGTAATTTACTGAAACAGCGATGGCTTTTGCTTCAGCAACAAGCATGTTGAGGCTGTTGTGGTAAAGCGGGTCGGCGGCTGAAGATATGAAAAAGGCCCCGCCATGGAAGTAAACGATGAGGGGAAGCTTGTGATCAGTTTTGGTGATGTTGTTGGGTCGGTAGAGCCTGGCCGAGACTCCGGTTTCGGGTATGAGGACGATGTCTTTGGATAAAACTCCGGTCTGGGGGTCCAGGCCGGCCGGGACGACTTGGGTTCCGGCGATTCTGTCAATTGTTCCGTCTTTGAGCACTCGCAGGTAGGGCAAGACTTCAAGTGAGACTTCTGGTGATGTGGTTGAAGCCATTTGTATGGAAGAAGAAGCAGAAGCAGAAGAAGAAAAGGTCACGTATGACTTGAATTAGAGGGGCAAGAGATTTGGAGAATTGGCATGCAATTTATTTAGGGAGATGACATAAGTGTGGAATGCACCAAAATTAAGTTTTGTAAGGCTATGAAGTCAAAATCTAGCAACTATATTTTAATACCAAAAGTTATGGTGATTGGTTGGTACAGTTTTTTGAATTCCTGCAAGACTTTTTTGTTAAAGAAAATTGTTGTAGCATAATAAAGTAATGAAATGAAATAAAATAAAAATCTTCCTGCAGCACCTCCTAATCAAATCATATACAAATCATTTGTTTTGAAAGGAGGAGAATGAGCCAAGCAACATTTTCTATACGAATCATATTATATGAACAAGATAACTGATCACATAACTTCGATGTAAGGGAAAATACTCGTAACGAACTTTATTTCTTTTGATTTTGTTCTTTCATTTCACTATTCTTAATTCAAAAGAAAGAAGTCTCTTGCATGCTAGGTAACGCTGCTAAGCCATTCTTTTATTCAAAGTTTAGCAGGAAACTCCAGCAGCATTCGCTAGCAAGTTGCTGGTGTGTGTGGATGTATACATTCTTTGCGGTACCAAAAATCTGTAATGATCCGATGAAAATTATAATAAGATGATTAAAAATCAGTTGAAAGTTAAGTAAAGTCTGTTATATATATATATATATATATACATATATATATATATATATAAGCACCCACCAACAACATTCTTGATTGACAAAGTTAGACGTGTGTATTTCAGGAACGTGAAAACGCGCCAACCCTCGTGGT